TCCTGATCCTGACAAGCCATTCATAGTGACTACGGATGCTAGCCAATATGGCATAGGCGCCGTACTTGCACAACAGGAGGGGAAGAAGTTGAGGCCTGTCGAGTACATGTCCAAAAAGATGCCTTCTCAGAAGTTGGCTAAGTCCACCTATGAGAAAGAACTCTATGCGGTGTACAAGGCTCTGACCCATTGGAGACACTATCTCCTTGGGTGGTTCTTCATCCTCAGGACTGATCATCAGACCCTGAGATGGATGAGAACTCAGCCGGTACTCTCTGACGCTCTCAAGCGTTGGATCGAAGTCATAGAGCAGTATGACTTCGAGCCCCAGTACATCAAGGGCGAGTACAACAAGGTTGTTGATGCCTTGTCGCGTAGACCTGATTTCTCAGGTGCGCTGATCACTGAGTTTGGGCTTGAGGACAATGTTACTAAGTCGTTGGTGGAAGCCTATCGTAAGGATCCGTTCATGTCCGAGATCATCCGCAGACTCGAAGCGAAGGATAAAGTGACTTCTGCTGAGTTTGAGTTGGTCAACGGCTCGCTGTTCCTCGAGAAGGCTGGGAATAAACATTTGTGTGTCCCGAATAGCGAGTCTTTGCGTAGTTTGTTTTTAGGAGAGTGCCATGATGCCACCGGCCATTTTGGGTACAAGAAGACCGCAACTAATCTGCTGCAGCAGTTCTGGTGGCCCACGATGATGCGAGATGCCCAGCTGTATGTGGAGACTTGTCAGGTCTGTCAAAGGGACAAGCCCCGTACGCAGGCTCCTTTTGGGCTACTGAAGCCGCTTCCGATTTTGTAACGGCCTGGTGAGAGTCTGTCCATGGACTTCATGGATACTCTGATCACCAGCAAGAGTGGGATGCGACACATCTTCGTCATCGTGGATAGATTTAGTAAGTATGCTAGGTTAGTAGCAATGCCGGAAACAGCAAGGACGGAGTATGTAATCAGAATGTTCAAGGAGAAATGGGTTAGGGACTTTGGGTTACCGAAGTCTATTATTAGTGACAGGGATGTCCGATTTACCAGCGAAATGTGGAAGGCCGCTGCTGCAGAGCAGGGAACCCAGTTGCAAATGACTTCTGGGAATCACCCGGAGGCCAACGACCAGGCCGAGCGACTGAACCACGTTGTACAACACCTGTTGAGGCATTACATCAAGCCCAACCAGGTAGACTGGGATGAGAAGCTTGCACTCATCGCCAGTCTGTATAACAATGCGGTACACAGTGCGACCGGGGTGAGCCTGAATAGTTTGCTACTGACTTTCAAGCCTAGACTACCCTTAGATTTTCTCCTTTCCGAGAATCAGTCGACTGCTGCACCAGATACGTTAGAGTTTGCTTACCGCTACGAACAGAAGATGCAACAGGCTGTAGAACAGATGCAAAAGGCACAGGCGGCTATGATAGAATCTGCGAACAAACACCGCCGTGAGTCTTCATTTCAGGTTGGGGACAGAGTCTGGGTTAAGTCCTCAGAACTGGGACAGGAGCACGGGATCTCCCGCAAGCTCATGCCACAGTACTTTGGACCTTGGGAAGTTTTAGACATCGTTGGGACAGATCCGGATGGGCCATCTTATGTTATCCGGATCCCTTGTCATCTCCGTACTTACCCTGCCTTTCACGCCTCCAAGCTGGCACCTTTCAAAGAGACTGATCAATTTCCATCTCGTCGCTCAATGCTGCCCCCAACCATGGACGGAGAGGTGGACATCGATGACATCGTGGATCACAGAGAGCTGCCGGTATCAAGACCAGCAGGCAGGGGACGTCCTCCGAAACCGAAGCTGCAGTACCGCGTTCGGTTCCGGCATCACACTGATCCGAAGGAGGACCGCTGGTTCACCAGGGAGGAACTCATGCAGACCGCTCCTCAAGTTGTAGCCCAATACGAGAGATCTCTGCAGAAGGGAAAGGGCCCCATGGTTGAAGACTGAGCTTCTCAGAAGACTATTGAAGCTAAGGAGGAGGGAATGCGAGGCCACTGCCTCTATGAGCCCCAATCGGCCCCTTTTTGGGAGCCTGTCGGCCGCCCTAAGTGAAGGCAGGCTCGACGAGGCCCCTCAGGGCCTTAATTCGGCCTCTGCACAACTAAGGAAATTCAGGCAGTTGCGCAGCGCCAGTTGGTTGAGAAAACCCAGGCCCTGGGCCGCCTGCGTGAATGTATGGAAAGCAGGCCCTAGGCTGGATACGGGTACTGGGCCAAACACAGGCCAAAGGCAGTKGGGCGCATACAACCACCTCAGGCCCAMGGCCTGTTTTCGTTCRTGCTGGGCCTCAGGCTACCGGGGCCTACTGGAAGCTTCCTGGGACTGGACGCAGGCAGGCCACTTCGATATAGCAAAGGGCCTGCCTCCTCATTCGACATTCGGGTGCTGGCTGCATGCTGCGCAAGCGCTGCTGCGCTATTTGCTGGCTGGCGCCTACGCTCTCACGGGCGAGCAGGGAAGGAGCACGCAGCCATAGCCAAGCTGCGCTGCTGTAAGCTGGGTGAGGCGCAGGGTGGTCCTTGGGTCCAAGTGGCATCTGTGTTGGGGAACGAGGTTGTGAGTGTAGCGAGAGACATACCTGGTGCTGGAAGCGTGCGACATTGGTCGTTGTATGCTCGTACTTCGGAAAGCTGTTGTCGTCAACATTCGGCATGGTAGTCTCGGCTAGATAGGATCTGTCATCAGTAGTCTGGGCGCCGAGCGCCAGATAGGATATCAGCATTGGTTCTTCATTGATGATGATGATGAGACATTGCCATCATTGTCAATTTTGAGCTCTTGGTGTCTTCTTATTTGGTGAATCTCGTGATGCAATACTGCTGTTGGTTCGAGGTCACGACTATCTGATCTTGTGAATATGATGCTGTTTGATTGCTGAAGTTCGCTATTGCTCATCTTCCTTGCAAAAATGAAAGCATCAAAGAAAAAACGAAAAGAAAAAGAAAAGGGAAAGGGAAAGAATAAAGTTAATAGCAACACTGCAAGGTCCCTTGGCCTTGCCGTAGCCCAGCAGGGACCGGCCCACATTGAGCAGACCTGGCCCTAAGTAACAGCCAGACATACAGCTATGATAAAGCCCGGGTCCTAAGGGAAGGCCCAGGCAGTCAAAAGTAACCGCCGGGGCAATGAAGTAACAGCCCAGCCGCCCTAGGCATATGAAAGGTGGCGGAAGCCGCCCAGCCCAACCACTCAATGATGCAACCACAACCTCCTAGAATTGGCAAAAGCATTGGAGGCAGCTGCTGAGGGGACACTTCTGTACTTACACAGAAATGCTGGCTAAATGCACGAAAAATAGCGAAGCAGAAGCCAGCTGGGCCCAGTGCATTGACTACAGGAGGGGAGAGCTGGGGGAGAGCTGCCACGACACAGCAGCCCTACCAGCGGCAGCTATAGCTGCACTGGATGTGAAAGGGCCGTCCAGGTACTGGGAGGACGATGGGAGAGAGGGCAGTGATGAGAAGTGGGACTTACTCAGTGATGGATGACAATCACACATAAAGTGGTCATACTCTGAGGCGTCAACGGGCAAGAAGAGGACTGGTCCAGGACAGAGAAGAGATTGATTGGTGTGATTTCGACTTTGTAAATGTGCTTTCAACTTAAGTTTGCTCTTATATGCTTGTTCTCCTTTAGTGTCTCTCGCTGCTGTCTGAAAAAAAACAGTCTCGTTGTTGGGCTCCTTGCCGCGCTACAAGTCAGACAACTTTTCCAAGTCCGCATCTTCCTCGTTCAGTCAAGTTGGATCCAACTGTGCCTACATCCACCTCAAGACTGGAGGGCGGGAGGGAGGGAGGGAGGGAGGGAGGGAGGGAGGGAGGGAGGGAGGGGGGGGGGGGGGGGGGGCGGGGGAGGGAGGGAGGGAGGGAGGGAGGGAGGGAGGGAGGGAAGGGAACGGGGAAGAGGTGAAGCGGGGATGGATGGAAGGCGGGCGGAAACAAGGAGGGAGGGTGGAAAGGAGGGAGGAAGAGAGGGGGTAGTGAAGGAGGGAGGGAGCGAGGAAGAAAGAAAGGGGAAGTAAGGAAAGAAGCAATATAGGAAGTGGGAAGTCAGGCACCGCGGCGCAGGCGCTGCGCTACCGGGGGAGCAGCGCCGGCGCCAAGCAAGCTATGGAGGAACGTGCGCGGCGAGCGGGCGACGTGGTAGTGTACCGATGCGTGTGCCAGGTGGAGCGCTGCTAGCGGGCGGTGCGCTGTCAGGTGGAGTGCCGCTAGAGGGCGGTGCGCTGCCAGGTGGAATGCTGCTAGTGGGCGGTGCGCTGCCGGGTGGAGCAGCGCTAGGGCGCGGCTGCGGAAAATGAGGGAGGTGACAACACAGAGACACGGACGTTGAGTGCTGCTACTCTACAACGGGGATGGTGGCGTCTCTAGTTGACAGAGAGGAGGGAGAGGCGATGGTCTTCTGTTCTGTTCCGTGCGGATCTTCTGGCGTCACAGGCTGGCGCAGGTAGAGAAGGGGGGTTGGTGCTTCTGCTTCGTGGTGCGAACCTTCAGGCGTTGGAAATCTCAGTGTGACTGAGGATAATTGCTTCATGGGGTGGGACGTTCTCTTCGATTCTGGCCAGCTTTCAGTTTCAGTGTCCTGTCGTCGGCCTCTTGTACTGCGTTGCCAACGGCGGTAATCTTCATCATCATCATCATCGACATTTTTCATAATGTGGGGATAACGACGGTAATCATCATCATCAGCAGCAGTAGCAGCTTTACTGACATCACCATCATCATTATGAGCATCTTCATTGGTGCGTCATCATCATCTTCATCATCATCATCATCATCATCATCATCGTCAGTATTACTGGCATATCATCATCATCATTATCATTATGAGCATCTTCATTGGTGCGTCATCATCATCATATCATCATCATCATCATCATATCATCATCATCATCATCATCATCATTATCATCATCATCATCATCATCATCATCATCATCAGCAGCAGCAGCAGCAGCAGCAGCAGCAGCAGCATTACTAACATCATCATCATCATCATCATCAGCAGCAGCAGCAGCATTACTGACATCATCATCATCAGCAGCAGCATCAGCATCAGAATCATCATCATCATCATCATCATCATTATCGATATCATCAACATCATTATCATCATCATTATGATGATGATTAGTACCATCATTATTAGTTTGTTATCAGTAGAGTTTGCTCTTCAAGGCATCGTCCGCCTTTCGCATCAGTAGGTGAGTGGGTCGTCATCATCATCCTCATTATCATTATCTTCAGGAAGGTCTTAGATACAGTGGGAGCTGATTTCTTTGGACCGTCCTACAATGTGGACGTCCCTCTGCATCTACAAACCTACCCTGTCTTTCATGAATCTAAGCTGTTGCCATTTACGCCAGCTGATGCATTCCCAGACAGGCCTCCTCAATTCGGTCCCCCTATCCCTGGCAAAGGGTATGAGGTCGAATCTGTGGAGGATGAGTCAGGGACAGGTCCAGATAAGGAGTACCTTGTGAAGTTCTTATACCAGCTGCACACTGAGGACCGCTGGTTTACTCGCAAGGAACTTCTGAAGACAGCCAAGTCTGTCATCCTCAAATATGAGGCAGCACAGAAGGGTGTACCCCTTCGGCGCTCTGCACGCCTACGCCCCTAGCTCGGAGGTCCTCGCTTCGGGGGAGGGTAGGTCTGCAATGACTCGCTGTTTTCTGGCCGCCTGTAGCCTCTCTCTGTCGAGGCTGTACTATAGGTAGACAGATTCGTAATTTTGTTTGGCTGAGGGCTAACCGAGAGACCTACCTGTGAGGGAAATTCGTGAGGGACATATCTGCAAATTCGGGAAAATACAGGCCCGGTACTAACCGCATTCCCTCACAGGTAGGTCTCTCGGTTAGCCCTCAGCCAAACAAAATTACGAATCTGTCTACCTATAGTACAGCCTCGACAGAGAGAGGCTACAGGCGGCCAGAAAACAGCAAGTCATTGCACCCTTCCCTAGATGCTCCGTCTGAACTTGCCACACACAGTCCTCTCACTTATTGCACAATTATGAACACAATCAATAGGAGGTTGGTTTTTCCATTGTTCCACTGCGATTTCGCTGCTCTGTCATGTCATAGACAGCTTTTCTTACCCGCCTGAAGAGAAAGCAGATGATAAGATTTTCTATGGCAATGAGTACCATGATACAATAGGACAGGATTATAAACCAGTGAAAGTCGGTCAAATACGTTGATCTGGGCAACTGCCACCACAGGAACACATCACCAAGAAACCAATCACAGTCCCACAGATACCACCAGTCAGACAATCTGTTACAATCAATCAATATGAAACTCCTCTTTGACAGATGCTGCAAGTCAGAGACAATCATCGCACACAATCAGTGTGACATTCCTCTACGAGCAGCACTACCAGTAGGATGGCAATTGTGCCACACAAACACAATCAAACCTGAAATTCCATCACAACAAGTACCACCAGTCTGACAATCAATGTGAAATTCGTCCTTGATACCACCAGTCAAACAATCTGTCACACAACCAGGGTAATTCCTCCCAGAAAAATCACCAGTCAGTGGCAGTTTTTACACAGTTTTCACAGTAATCAAGAAAGAAATTCATCCATAAATAGTGAATACCACCACTTAAGGGGCCCTTGCGTATATTTATGCGGCAACGTACATGGTGCTTCATATGCAGCAGTCGTACGTATGGGGCGACGTATTTCCAAGGCCCTGTACCCCCCAGTCTGCCTGACCTGCGGGATGCCTGAGGAACATTTTGAATTCTCTGTGTTTTTTTTTTTTGCCACGGAGCTAGGCTTTGGAGACACAAGGCGAGACTGTTTTTTTTTTTTTTTTTTTTTTTTACAGATTCATGCATGTCATCCTTGCGCAGGGGCCATGAAAATCTTCGCTGTATTGTTCCAATTTTAGCAGATGTCTCAAAGGACACCCCAGGGCCCAGACTTAATTCTAAGGCAGTTGGACTTGTGTTTCCTAACTTCCCTTGCACGTAGCATAATAGAATTGTCATCGTCTGTCTATATGGGTACATGGAGCACGGCCTGATTTCTCAAACGATTCATTGCAATCTGAAGGATCGTGCTTCCGTACGCCATCGGGCCCGCAAAAGGGTATGTTCCCCCTTGTCCCCGAGGACAGCCAAGCAAAAAATGTTACCGGGCGATTGAAAGTAATTTAAAACGAAAAAAAGCACGATGTCTCTTTTATTAAAAAAAAAAAAAAAAAAAAAAAAGCATGATGTTGTCAGTCTATGGAAAGGGAGCAAGGGCGTCGTTCGACACACCTCGGGGACGTGATTCCAAGGATTTCGTCTTCGTTCCACCTGTCCTCGGAGCCGATTTTCGAAACAGAAATGTGAAAACACTCCGAGGACAAATCCTCGAGCTCCGAGGATTTTCCAGCCAAATCGTCCTCGGCTCACGAGGTCCCTCGGAGTCCGAGGATCCGCGATAATCGGGGTGTCGGCGGCGAGTCCAAAAGGGAAGTTGGTGGTCGGAGGTGGTCCAGTGGTGGTCCTCCGCGTAGAAGACGGACATCACGAGGCGCCGACGTCCAAAACGTCCACCAATGGCCACGTCTTTTTACCGTTGTCGGGGATTAGCGGTACGTCCCTGTCGGTTCGTCGGGCGGCCCCACGGCGGTGCCGTGCCAGGCATCGGACATTTTCGGGTGGGTCGTGGAGGTGTCGTAGCGTTCCCGCAGGCTGCCCAACGGTCGGAAACATGAATTTTTTTAAGCGTCCACCCCCGGCCGGTGGCTGCAGCAATTTCGTACGTTGGCGTCTTCCCTCGTGCAACGTGCGTCTCCGGTCGCCGCGATCGCGACAGGTAAGTGCGTCCCCTCTCCTTCATGGCTGACCTGTGCCGCAGGCTGCCTTTGTTGCTGCTTGTCGCTGTGCTGCAGCTTGCCGTTGCCGTCTATCATATCTGCATCCTCGGTCGCGTCCCTGGGAGGAAATAGAGGCGGCGAACGACGAAGGCGACCGGTAAGATGGAGAAGGTGCAGACGAAGAGGACGATGTCCGTAGGGGCTGGCGGGTCGTCACGTCAGCGTTGCAGCTCTGCGGAAGGCGGCAGGCGGCCGTACGACCCGACGCTGTACAGCCACCTGCCGTCCCACGAGATTCCATTGCCTCCGAGTGACGACGACAGCGACGACCCCCGATCCCGATCATCAACGGTTCCTCTGGGCAGCGGCTCGCCGCAGGATTGGATGGGGAGCCAGCTGTACAGACAGCCCTCGACGCCGACGTACACTGATCTGCTGGAGGGGCGGAACCCAGTTGGTTATGACGCAGGGCTCGTAGATCTCAACTTCGGTTTGAGGTCTGGGAGTGGCCAGGACGTCACGCACACCGTTCTCGTGAACCCGGCTTCTGGCAGCAACCACACAGCGCCTTCGGTGGGGCCGTGGGGCCTTCCTGACACCCGCGGCCGGGGTTCTGGTCAGTCGGGCGACGAACGTGGACTGGTTTCGCGAGGGCGGGGGGCAGTGGGCACAGCAGGTGTTCGCGCGTCGGGGACGAGGACATGTGGATCGACAACGGCAGCCGACGCAGTCCACCGAGGACGGGATGACGATGACGGCTACGCTGCGGAGGTCGTGGGGCGAGAGGTTTGGGATGATTACCGGCGACAATCGCGTCAATCTAGCACGTCCGCCATAACGAGAGGGGTGGCGAAGATCAATGTAGGGGCGGACGACACACCCGGCGATTGTGACGGTGCGGGTGGTGAAGATTGCTCGGCAGGCGACGGGGGCAATGACAACGACGAGGACGAGGATGGGGAGATGGAGATTCGTCCGGTGGGGAAGAAACGGGGAGGGCCTAGGGCGACGAGCAAGTCCAGCGAGCCGCGCGCGGGGCGGAGAGGCAAGAAGRGTGCGGGAGATGCGTCGGCAGGCGACGGAGCGAAAARCAGGGATTTTTGGACCGTGGAACACATGATTGCTCTTGTCCGAGCTAAAAGAGACCAGGATTTGCATCTTGCTGGCCTCGGCCACAACATGGGAAGGATGAAGACGAAGACATGGAAGTGGGCCGACATTGAGAGCAGGCTCGTGCAGATGGGGGTGACGATTAGAAAGGCCGACGACCGCGGGAAAAAATGGGACAACCTGTACATGCAGTTCAAAATTGTGCACAAGTTCATGGGAGAATCGGGGAAGCCTGATTTCTTCACACTGACGCCGCGGGAGAGAAAGGAACGGGGGTTCGATTTTCGGATGGACGAGCGTGTGTATTCGGAGATGAAGGCCATGTCCAGGGGCGATCACACTATACACTCCACGAATCTGGCGGACACGGGTGCGGCGGGAGGTGTTCAACTGCCCGACCGACCTGGAGATCGGAACGATTCAGGCGGTAGTGACGGATGCGGGGATGGGCAGGACGACGATCAGGGATCGACACGGAATTCAAGTTTCAGCGGCGGCGGTGCGGGCGGGTGCGGCAAAAGGAAGAATGTGAGACAACAGACCTTCGACACCATTGCGGACGTCATGAAGGAACACGGGAGTCTGATGGCGACGACGGTGGACAGCGCGAGCAAGAGGCAGTGCTCAATTCCGACTAGGCAATGCGACATTCTCGAGCGAGAGCTAGAAGTGCAGAAGGAGCACTACGTGAAGGCCGACTAGGCGAACCTGTTGATGTGCAACGCCCTTATGGAGATTGCTAAAGCGATCCGCGAACGATCATGAAGTCGATGGGCCACACATATCCAACGTCCACGCGAATGCCTCGTGTGTGCTTCTGGATCGTCGGCGTTGCCCCCGTACTGCGTGCTGTTGTGCGGTGGTGGGCAGGTTGTGTACAGACGACGGGTCATTTCTGCAAGCGGTTTCCATTGCAAGAGTCGAATTTTTTGATTAGTTTGAAGGGTGTTGATTGCTGTCATGCCCGTCGGCGCGTCCTTCGGTTTCAAATTACGACGCCCGATTATTGTTCAACGCCTCTTGATGTGACGCGTTGCAGCCACACACGGATGGGGATCCAGCAGGGTTTTCTTTTTTTTGGGGGGGGGTGTCGGAGAAAGGAATGGGTGGCAGGGTGTGTTTTTTTTGGGCGGGAGGGGACAATGGAGGACAGGGGCGCCTCGAGTTTTGGGGGGTGGCGGACGACGGAAGTGTGCCGGGGTCTTTCGACCTCCACCATGGTCCTCCTGCGCGCCCACACGCGTTGTTGGCCATGCGAGGGATCACCAGAAGCCTTCGGGAAAAAACGGTCCGTGTACGATCGGCCGGGGGGCGGGCTGTCGTGGACGGCGTGGCGTGTACACGGTGTGCGGCGATAGCGCAGCGCGTTGAAAAGGAGATTCCGGGCCGCAGTCCGTACGACAGTACTTCATTTTCCACGTCTCCGATGGTGTCGTCTGAGCAGTGATTCGTAGCCCGCACGCCAACACTTCCCGCCCTTTGCCTCTCAACGCTCGAGCTTTGTGCACCGCGTGTAGTCCCCCTTCACGCGCCGCAAGCACGTGCTCTTTTTTTGTGTGGCCGTCGTCGATCTCCACGCGTCCTTCTTCCACGTGCTCCTTCCCGTCAGGCACGTCAGGCAACTTCCCGCGTCGTCGATCTCCACGCTCGAGCTTTGTGCACCGCGTGCAGTCCCCCTTCACGCGCCGCAAGCATGTGCTCTTTTTTAGCTGGCCATCATCGTCGCGGCTCCTGCCCACCACGATTGCGCATCGTCCACGTGCTCCGTCGTTGACGTGGCCGTCGTCGATCTCCACGCGTCCTACTTCCACGTGCTCATCGTTGCCGAGTTGCGGATGACATGGCCCCGAGGAACGCATCAGTGAAGGCAAGGAAAGATAGCGGGGCGGGCGACGCGGGGGAAACCCAGAGAGGCAGAGGGCACGTGCCTAAGTCGAAAAGGCAGCGCGTTGAAGAGGCGAGCTCCGACCACACTGGAGATTTCCAGCCTGAAGAAGTGCTGATGGTGGACGCGCAAGGGACTTCAACGGCGGCGCGATTGGGTTTCGGGCGGGATGGGGTGTCGAAGGAACAGCTGTCTGCTCTGAAGCAGAGCATTGCTGTTGGTGCTGTCGGGGCGTCACAAAGGACCCCGAAGGCGGCAGGGGTTGTCATAACGGAGGTCCGCGTGTCGAGGCAACTTCCCGCGGCGGCGGGGCAGGGCCAGCCACGTCAGGCACTCCCCCTGCAACAGGTGGGGGCTTCAGGGGGAGGGAAAGAACAGTCCGCGCAAAAGGGCGATGCAACGACGATCGACACTCGGACGGCGCCAGCGGATCACAGCAGTAGAAGCGGAGTCGCCGAAGGTGCGGCCGAGGAGAGGGTAGACGACGTCCGCCGCGACGATGGAAGAAGAGACAGAAAGCGGGAGGGCGACGGCGACGACGACCGTCCACTTGTGACGAGGTTGAAGGGAGCCGCAAAGGAGGATGATCTGGAGAAGAGATCGAAGTTGTGGGTTGATTGCGACTCTTTCTGGGGTCAGGGACCGGGGAAACCCTTGAGGGAGGCGGTCGGCGAGTGCGCGCACTACTTCATCGCCATCGCCAATGGAGACGCAGGAGCTGAACCGCCTGCGATGCTCATAGTGCCGCAGAACGACGTGCCGCGCTTCAAGATCGAGGACCCTGCGCAGCGTGAACCGGCTCTGTGCAGAGCGCGCAGCATGGAGAAACTGGTGCTGCGCCATCCACGGCTGGATCTTCAAATCGTCGTCGCGGTCGGCTGGATTCGCTCTTGCAGAGTCGTACATCAGCGTCGACATTGCCACGGACGTCGCACGAGAAGTTTGGCAAGGGCAGGAATGGTCGAACGTGGTGTCCCCTGCACTCGTGTACCACACTCTGGCGATGAAGATGGACGTGCCTCTGTGGTTCGCGGGGGTGAAGATTGTGGATCGGCCTGAGGACGACGACATGGCGGCGCGACAGGAGGCGACAATTCTTCTCGCCGCGGAGTGCTGGAGAGATGCACTGTGGTGTGGACAATGGGCAGACGGTGGTCGCGTGAAACAGGAGAGGTTGTCTAGGCTTGCGGACTGTCTTCGAGCGTTGTTGAGCGCGTGCATGTGGATCATGCGCATGGGTGGTGACGACGACCGTTCGCACTACGAGGCGTGCCTTTACTCGTCCATGGTCGCCAAACCGACAATGATAGCGGCGGGGTCGTACATCTTAGACTGGCGGCGACACATCGTTGACAGCGCGAATCTCGTCTTGGATCGTATAGGGAAGGCTCACCTCACGCTGGGAGAATACCCTCACTTCATTCCGGAATGGTGTGACTATGGGTTGGTGTTCGGCCACAACGCGGCCCTGAAGAACGCGGCGGAAGCCGCGAAACACGGATGGATCGGCAGCGGGCCCGCAGCGGAGGAAGAGGGAGACGAGGACGGTTGACACGTGGGTGCGTCTGTGATGCAGCGTCAGGGTGCGGATCGTCGACTGATTGGAGCATTGAAAGACACAACGGCGAACGCAGCGCCTGCGACCGCAGGCAGGGCAGCACGCGCGGGATGGGTGCCGGCTGGTGTTGGTGGTTCAGCGGGGGGGGAGGGGGGGGGGCGTTAGACGGGCGGTCGTGGCGGCTCCAACGGCGTGTGGTCTTGAGTGTCGTTATGCATATGTGAGCTTGTATCCGTCGTTGTGCATGCGTAGTGAACGATGCATTCGTTTATTTTGTGTCATTATTCGGTGATTGGAGCGCACTTTGTACGTTTGCTCCGCCGTAGGGTTAATTGGGTCGGCGGACTTCTCTGCCGAAATGTGCGTAGACGGCATGACCAATCCGTGTGTAGTGGGGAACGCTTGAAGTGTCGATAGTCAAGCAGAAAGGGGAATCGCCGCCTGTGCAATTGATTTGTTGTAATATGAACTCCGTGAAATGTGTGTTGCTGTTTCCATGTCGTGTGGTGGATGCTAAAGATTGCGCACGGAGTCATGTCGTCGTTGTCTTCTGTGTGGTTTTATCACATGACGCACACGTGAATGGCCATCGCACTGTCGTCCGCATCTTTTTCTGTATGAGGCCCTTTCTTTCGATTTCACCTATCGCGGCATCGTTATCATCGCCGTCAACTTAAGAAAGAAAAGAAATAAAAGGAAAAAAGGCAGGAACCTAAACATGCACTTTCATTGTCATCTTTGTGTGCTGGCGCCCATGTTTCCCTTCCTCATGCCATCGCCAGATCCTAATGATTGCACCTACCATGAAGGAAGGGGGAAAAAAATGAAAACAAAAAATTTGAACTACTACAAGGAAGGTCACAGCGCAGTTGCCTGATGAGCACATCTGTCGCGAGTTCATCTTTCTTTTGTTTGTCGATGCATGTCAGTCGTCAATGCAACAATGAAGCTTTTCCGACAACAATTCACAAACGCGATGCACGTCATTCGTCAATGCAACAACGAAGCTTCTCCGACAACATTTCACAAACGCGGACAAGTCGAGACGACATGCACAACACACATTCCATGCACCGCAAAAAAAAAAAAAGATCCCTCGAAACAATAGCAGCAGTCGGCTACACCAAAACATCCATTCCCAAACATCATAAAAAACATTCACCGTTCGAAAGTTCAAAAAAAAAAAAGGCGCTGTGAAGCGCATGCGAACCAGCAGGCTCACGAACCTCTTCGTGCCAGCCCTCGACTACGACTCCCATCTACGACTACCCCCCCCATCAAACAAGGACCGAACCCTTCGACGACTCCACGACATTGCGAGGGAAAACCAACTTCTCGGCCACGACGACAATGAAGAGCCGAAAAACGAAAAGACGACCGTAGAGGACGAATACTACATCAGCGACCCCGTCGCACTCCTGCTGCGCGACGGACTGGACCTATACAGCGTCGTGGAATATAAGAAAAACACCTGAAAAGAACCCGACCGCCACGGCAGACCCTCACTGGCGATCGCGCGCGTAAGCAGAAGACGAAAGAGTTGTCGGCCGACTATGGCGGGACACGACTTCAACGGGACGAACAGGTAGGCGGCTGGCTGGATCAAACGTGTTTCATCCGTTGCGCCAGTGCATTGCGGAGCGCATGAGCCTCGCGCGTCAAAGTCAGCATGGACACTGGCTGCGGGGGGCGATGAATCCCGAGGTCCACTCGGCGCCTCACCCCGTTCGCGTCGACCTCCCACAACAAATTCTCGTCGAACTCGATGCCTCCATCGAGCAGGATGTTGTGGAGAATGCATACTGCCGTGAACTGCTGCGGCAGACTGTCGAGGTTCGTCTTGTGCGTCCGCAGGAAGAGCCTCCACATCCCTTTCAACCTCCCGAACACCCTCTCCACGGGCCCTCTTGCGACCTTCTGCTTCGAGTCGAACCTTTCCTCGTCCGGGTGCTGATTGATTCCTTCGTACGGCACCACCACCCACTCAGAAGGAGGATACCCGTTGTCGCCCAAGATGTATCCGTTCGTCCTCACCCCTCCCGGCAGCGTCACAGGAGGCCCACAAAACAACAATCCCTCTTCCGCGTGCCTCGACAGACTTGACAGCTGGATCACCCTAATGTCGTGGCAGCTCCCCGGATATCCACCGAACACATCAAGGACGCGCAGATCCAGGTCCACCACAACCTGCGCAATGACGGAAAAATGGTGCTTGTGGTCGAAGTAGTTCTCGCTGCGGTGTGTCGAACGACACCTCTGAAAATCAAAAATTACTCCGAGGATTCGTCCTTGGAGCCCGAGGACGCGCTGAGGTGTGTCAAACGACGCCCGAATCCTCGGAGTAATTTTTTATTTTCGGAGGTGTCGTTCCACCTGCCCTCGGAGAATTGCCCCGAGGACGAATCCTCGGGGCCCTTCCGCGGCCAGTTTAATTAGATTATACACAGCCGCGAGAGGAATGTCCGGCCTCCGATTCGGGATGTCCGTGTCGCAGGCGTGGTGGTCCAACAGGCGGACGGCGGGAAAACGTCACGGGCCCTTGGGAAAAAAATCGCCAACGCGGGAACATCCCCTTTCGAAATTCGAATTTCGATTTTTGATCTTGCGGAGCGACGTGGTGGCGGTGCACAGGCGGGTCGGCCAGGGAGCAGTCTACGCCTCGCAGGGTTTCGTTTGCCATCGCGTTGCGTATTTTAGCGGCGCCGCACCGCCACTGCGTCAAGTGTGGTCGACGCGGCAAAACGAAGACGTCCGGTAGGCAGTCGCGTTCGCCACGTGCAAGCGCCGCGGCGGTCCTGCTCTTCAGCGGCGTTGGGTGGACGCTCCAATCGGAATTGCGTCGTTGGGCCGGGTTGTCTTCCTGACGTGGTTGCAGGCGTCTTCAAACGTGGTGGCAGAGGTGCACGGAGGTGGGCGGCGGTGGACGTCCTTTTTTGTCTTCAAAGGACATGATGGACGACTGCGATGGTGATGGACCTGCTGTACTGTCGACGACGGAGAAGACAACTGTCGCGGTAGCTGCGGTTGCCGTTATCCGTCGTTTCCAAATTGAGAGTGCGGCCGGGCGCATGAAGGCAGCGCTTTCGAGGCGGCGGCAGAGGCTTCTGCTACAAAGGGTGTTGGACACCCCGGACTGCATCACCACATCCCAAGTCGTGGTTCAGCTGTGCGCTGCAATCGGGTGCGGTTTGCTTTCTCGGGCGACGCCACGTTGGTGGATGCGGCGGAGAGCTGGCGGGACTTGGGAGGATTTACGGGTGTGCGATAACGCGACAGACGACTACTTCCGGGAAAAGCTCCGCATGTCCAAGAAAGTGTTCATGGAGATCAGCGAAGCATGTGCGCCTCATGTGCAGCGGCAGGTGACGTTTTACAGGGAGCCACTACAGTCGGAGCAGATCGTCACATACGCGCTGTATAGGTGGGCCACAGGAGAGTCTTACGATAACAGCACATCATCCTTCGGCATAGGCAGGACTTCCGGAGTTCGAGCCGTGCGCGATGTGACAGCCGCTATTTTGAGGGGGTACGGGGACAAGATATCGTGGCCGACGGGGGTGCGGAAACAAGTCGTGCTACGGGCATTTCTGGACAAGGGCTTTCCAAACTGCCATGGCGCAATTGACTGCACACACATCTACGTGGACAAACCGGCGAACGCGCCGAGCGAGAACTACTTCGACCGCAAGCACCGTTTTTCCGTCATTGCGCAAGTTGTGGTGGACCTGGATCTGCGCGTCCTTGATGTGTTCGTTGGATATCCGGGGAGCTGCCACGACATTACGGTGATCAAGCTGTCAAGTCTGTCGAGGCACGCGGAAGAGGGATTGCTGTTTTGTGGGCCTCCTGTTACGCTGCCGGGAGGGGTGAGGACGAACGGATACATCTTGGGCGACAACGGGTATCCTCCTTCTGAGTGGGTGGTGGTGCCGTACGAAGGAATCAATCAGCACCCGGACGAGGAAAGGTTCGACTCGAAGCAGAAGGTCGCAAGAGGGGCCGTGGAGAGGGTGTTCGGGAGGTTGAAAGGGATGTGGAGGCTCTTCCTGCGGACGCACAAGACGAACCTCGACAGTCTGCCGCAGCAGTTCACGGCAGTATGCATTCTCCACAACCTGTCTCTTATACACATCTAGATGTGTATAAGAGACAGGCCGTGGAGAGGGTGTTCGGGAGGTTGAAAGGGATGTGGAGGCTCTTCCTGCGGACGCACAAGACGAACCTCGACAGTCTGCCGCAGCAGTTCACGGCAGTATGCATTCTCCACAACATCCTGCTCGATGCAGGCATCGAGTTCGACGCGAACGGGGTGAGGCGCCGAGTGGACCTCGGGATTCATCGCCCCCCGCAGCCAGTGTCCATGCTGACTTTGACGCGCGAGGCTCATGCGCTCCGCAATGCACTGGCGCAACGGATGAAACACGTTTGATCCAGCCAGCCGCCTACCTGTTCGTCCCGTTGAAGTCGTGTCCCGCCATAGTCGGCCGACAACTCTTTCGTCTTCCGCTTGCGCGCGCGATCGCCAGTGAGGGTCTGTCGTGGCGGTCGGGTTCTTCTCAGGTGTTTGTTCTTGTATTCCACGACGCTGTATAGGTCCAGTCCGTCGCGCAGCGGGAGTGCGACGGGGTCGCTGATGTAGTATTCGTCCTCTACGGTCGTCTTTTCGTTTTTTGGCTCTTCATTGTCGTCATGGCCGAGAAGTTGGTTTTCCCGCGCAATGCCGTGGAGTCGTCGATGGGTTCGGTCCTTGTTTGATGGGGGGGGTAGTCGTAGATGGGAGTCGTAGTCGAGGGCTGGCACAAAGAGGTTCGTGAGCCTGCTGGTTCGCATGCGCTTCACAACGCCTTTTTTTTTTTGAACTTTCGAACGGTGAATGTTTTTGATGATGTTTGGGAATGGATGTTTCGGTGTAGCCGACTGCTGCTATCGTTTCGAGGGATCTTCTTCTTTTTTTTTGCGGTGCATGGAACGTGTGTTATGCATGTCGTTTCGGCTTGTCTGCGTTGTGAAATGTTGTCGGAGAAGCTTCGTTGTTGCATTGACGAATGACATGCATCGCGTTTGTGAATTGTTGTCGGAAAAGCTTCGTTGTTGCAGTGATGACTTACATGCATCGACAAACAAAAGAAAGATGAACTCGCGACAGATGTGCTCATCTGGCAACTGCGCTGTGACCTTCCTTATGGTAGTTCAACTTTTTTGTTTTCATTTTTTTCCCCCTTCCTTCATGGTAGGTGCAATCATTAGGATCCGGCGATGGCATGAGGAAGGGAAACACGGGCGCCAGCACACAAAGATGACAATGAAAGTGCATGTTTGGGTTCCTGCCTTTTTTCCTTTTATTTCTTTTCTTTCTTAAGTTGACGGCGGTGACAACGATGCCGCGATAGGTGAAATCGAAAGAAAGGGCCTCATACAGAAAAAGATGCGGACGATAATGCGATGGCCACTCACGAGTGCATCATGTGATAAAACCACACAGAAGACACCAACAACATGACTCCGTGCGCAATCTTTAGCATGCATTCACACGACATGGAAACAGCAACACACATTTCACGAAGTTCATATTACAACAAATCAATCGCACAGGCGACGATTCCCCCTTCTGTCTGACTATCGACACTTCAAGCGTTCCCCACTACACACGGACTGGTCCTGCCGTCTACGCACATTTCGGCGGAGCAGTCCGCCGACCCAATTAACCCTACGGCGGAGCAAACGTACAAAACGCGCTCCAATCACCGAATAATGACACAAAATAAACGAATGCATCGTTCACTACACATGCACAACGACGGCTACAAGCTGACATATGCATGACGACACTCGAGACCACACGCCGTTGGAGCCGCCACGACCGCCCGCCTAACGCTCCCCCCCCCCCCCGCGCTGAACCACCAACACCAGCTGGCACCCATCCCGCCCGTGCTGCCCCGTTTGCGGTCGCAGGCGCTGCGTTCGTCGTTGTGTCTTTCAATGCTCCAATCAGTCGACGATCCGCACCCTGACGCTGCGTCACGGACGCACCCACGTGTCAACCGTCCTCGTCTCCCTCTTCCTCCGCCGCGGGCCCGCTGCCGATCCATCCGTGTTTTGCGGCTTCCGCCGCGTTCTTCAGGGCCGCGTTGTGGCCGAACACCAACCCACAGTCACACCATTCCGGAATGTAGTGCGGATATTCTCCCAGCGTGAGGTGAGCCTTCCCTATACGATCCAAGACGAGGTTCGCGTTGTCGACGATGTCTCGCCGCCAGTTGAAGATGTACGACCCTGCCGCTATCATTGTCGGTTTGGCGACCATGGACGAGTAAAGGCACGCCTCGTAGTGCGAACGGCCGTCATCACCACGCATGCGCATGATCCACATGCACGCGCTCAACAACGCTCGAAGACAGTCCGCAAGCCTAGACAACCTCTCCTGTTTCACGCGACCGCCGTCCGCCCATTGTCCACACCAGAGTGCATTTGTCCAGCACTCCGCGACGCGAAGAACTGTTTTCTCCTGCCGCGCCGCAATGTCGTCGTCCTCGGGCCGATCCACAATCTTCACCCCCGCGAACCACAGAGGCATGTCCATCTTCATCGCCAGAGTGTGGTACACGAGTGCAGTCGACCATTCCTGCCCCTGCCAAACTGCTCGTGCGACGTCCGTGGCAATGTCGACGCTGATGTATGACTCTGCACGAGCGAATCCAGCCGACCGCGACGACGATTTGAAGATCCAGCCGTGGATGGCGCGCAGCAGCAGTTTCTCCACGCTGCGCGCTCTGCGCAGAGCCGGTTCACGCTGCGCAGGGTTCTCGATCTTGAAGCGCAGCACGTCGTTCTGCGGCACTATGAGCATCGCAGGCGGTTCAGCTCCTGCGTCTCCGTTGGCGATGGCGATGAAGTAGTCCGCGCACTCGCCAACCGCCTCCCTCAAGGGTTTCCCCGGTCCCTGACCCCAGAAAGAGTCGCAATCAACCCACAACTTCGATCTCTCCTCCAGACCATCCTCCTTTGCGGCTCCCTTCAACCTCGTCACAAGTGGACGGTTGTTGTCGTCGTCGCCCTTCCGCTTTCTGTCTCTTCTTCCATCGTCGCGGCGGACGTCGTCTACCCTCTACTCGGCCGCACCTTCGGCGACTCCGCTTCTATTGTTGTGATCCGCCGCCGCCGTTTGAGTGTCGATCTCCGTTGCATCACCCTTTTGCTCGGACTGTGCTTTCCCTCCCCCTGAAGCCCCCACCTGTTGCAGGGGGAGTGCCTGACGTGGCTGGCCCTGCCCCGCCGCCGCAGGAAGTTGCCTCGGCACGCGCACCTCCGTTATGACAACCCCTGCTGCCTTCGGGGTCCTTTGCGACGCCCCGACAGCACCAACAGCAATGCTCTTCTTCGGAGCGGACAACTGTTCCTTCGACACCCCATCCCGCCCGAAACCCAATCGCGCCACCGCTGAAGTCCCTTGCGAATCCACCATCAGCACTTCTTCTGGCTGGAAGTCTCCTGTGTGGTCGGAGTTCGCCTCTTTAACGCGCTGCCTTTTCGACCTAGGCACGTGCCCTCTGCCTCTCTGGGTTTCCCCCCTGTCGCCCGCCCCGCTATCTTTCCTGGCCTTCACTGATGGGTTCCTCGGGGCCATGTCGTCCGCAACTCGGCAACGACGAGCACGTGGACGAAGGAGCACATGGAAGTAGGATGAGTGGAGATCGACGACGGCCACGTCGACGACGGAGCACGTGGATGATGCGCAATCGTGGTGGGCAGGGGCCGCGACGATGATGGCCAGCTAAAAAAGAGCACGTGCTTGCAGCGCGTGAAGGGGGACTGCACGTGCTGCACAAAGCTCGAGCGTGGAAATCGACGATGCGGGAAGTTGCTTGACGTGCCTGACGGGAAGGAGCACGTGGAAGAAGGACGCGTGGAGATCGACGACGGCCACGCAAAAAAAGAGCACGTGCTTGCGGCGCGTGAAGGGGGACTGCACGTGGTGCACAAAGCTCGAGCGTGGAGAGGCAAAGGGCGGGAAGTGCTGGCGTGCGGGCTACGAATCACTGCTCAGACGACACCGTCGGAGACGTGGAAAATGAAGTACTGTCGTACGGACTGCGGCCCGGAATCTCCTTTTCAACGCGCTGCGCTATCGCCGCACACCGTGTACACGCCACGCCGTCCACGACAGCCCGCCCCCCGGCCGATTGTACACGGACCTTTTTTGCTTCTGGTGATCCCTCGCATGGCCAACAACGCGTGTGGGCGCGCAGGAGGACCATGGTGGAGGTCGAAAGACCCCGACACGCTTCCGTCGTCTGCCACCCCCCAAAACTCGAGGCGCCCCTGTCCTCCATTGTCCCCTCCCGCCCAAAAAAGACACACCCTGCCACCCATTCCTTTCTCCGACACCTTCCCCCCCCCTCAAAAAAAAAAAAAGAAAACCCTGCTGGATCCCCATCCGCGCGTGGCTGCAACGCGTCACATCAACAGGCGTTGAACAATAATTGGGCGTCGTTATTTGAAACCGAAGGACGCGCCGATGGGCATGACAGCAATCAACACCCTTCAAACTAATCAAAAAATTTGACTCTTGCAATGGAAACCGCTTGCAGAAATGACCCGTCGTTTGTACACTACCTGCCCACCACTGCACAGCAGCACGCAGTACGGGGGCAACGCCGAGGATCCAGAAGCACACACGAGGCATTCGCGTGGACGTTGGACATGTGTGGCCCATCGACTTCATGATCGTTCATGGATCGCTTTAGCAATCTCGATAAGGGCATTGCACATCAACAGGTTCGCCTGGTCGACCTTCACGTAGTGCTCCTTCTGCACTTCTAGCTCTCGCTCGAGAATGTCGCATTGCCTAGTCAGAATTGAGCACTGCCTCTTGCTCGTGCTGTCCACCGTCGTCGCCATGAGAGAAGGTTAACCGACCCCCCATTTTTCAGGTCAATTTATAAGAAAACCATAAGGCCATTTCAAGCAAACTCCACACCAATGTATAGAGTGCACTTCTTACTAACATATTTATAAAAAAAAAAAAAAAAAAAAAAAAAAAAAAAAAAAAAAAAAAACACATAAAACAGCAACCCAAAAGTGCATTTTCAGGCAATTTGTTCCATGGTCCAAAAATCCTTGCTTTTCGCTCCGTCGCCTGCCGACGCATCTCCCGCACTCTTCTTGCCTCTCCGCCCCGCGCGCGGCTCGCTGGACTTGCTCGTCGCCCTAGGCCCTCCCCGTTTCTTCCCCACCGGACGAATCTCCATCTCCCCATCCTCGTCCTCGTCGTTGTCATTGCCCCCGTCGCCTGCCGAGCAATCTTCACCACCCGCACCGTCACAATCGCCGGGTGTGTCGTCCGCCCCTACATTGATCTTCGCCACCCCTCTCGTTATGGCGGACGTGCTAGATTGACGCGATTGTCGCCGGTAATCATCCCAAACCTCTCGCCCCACGACCTCCGCAGCGTAGCCGTCATCGTCATCCCGTCCTCGGTGGACTGCGTCGGCTGCCGTTGTCGATCCACATGTCCTCGTCCCCGACGCGCGAACACCTGCTGTGCCCACTGCCCCCCGCCCTCGCGAAACCAGTCCACGTTCGTCGCCCGACTGACCAGAACCCCGGCCGCGGGTGTCAGGAAGGCCCCACGGCCCCACCGAAGGCGCTGTGTGGTTGCTGCCAGAAGCCGGGTTCACGAGAACGGTGTGCGTGACGTCCTGGCCACTCCCAGACCTCAAACCGAAGTTGAGATCTACGAGCCCTGCGTCATAACCAACTGGGTTCCGCCCCTCCAGCAGATCAGTGTACGTCGGCGTCGAGGGCTGTCTGTACAGCTGGCTCCCCATCCAATCCTGCGGCGAGCCGCTGCCCAGAGGAACCGTTGATGATCGGGATCGGGGGTCGTCGCTGTCGTCGTCACTCGGAGGCAATGGAATCTCGTGGGACGGCAGGTGGCTGTACAGCGTCGGGTCGTACGGCCGCCTGCCGCCTTCCGCAGAGCTGCAACGCTGACGTGACGACCCGCCAGCCCCTACGGACATCGTCCTCTTCGTCTGCACCTTCTCCATCTTACCGGTCGCCTTCGTCGTTCGCCGCCTCTGTTTCCTCCCAGGGATGCGACCGAGGATGCAGATATGATAGATGACAACGGCAAGCAGCAGCACAGCGACAAGCAGCAACAAAGGCAGCCTGCGGCACAGGTCAGCCTGCGACACAGGTCAGCCATGAAGGAGAGGGGACGTACTTGGCTGTCGCGATCGCGGCGACCGGAGACACGTTGCACGAGGGAAGACGCCAATGTACGAAATTGCTGCAGCCACCGGCCCGGGGTGGACGCCTAAAAAAATTAGTGTTTCCGACCGTTGGGCAGCCCGCGGGAACGCTACGACACCTCCACGACCCGCCCGAAAACGTCTGATGCCCGGCATGGCACCGCTGTGGGGCCGCCCGACGAACCGAAAGGGACGTACCGCCAATCCCCGACAACGGTAAAAAGATGAGGCCGTTGGTGGACGTTTTGGACGTCGGCGCCTCGCGATGTCCGTCTTCTACACGGAGGACCACCACTGGACCACCTCCGACCACCAATTTCCCTTTTGGACTCGCCGCCGACACCCCGATTATCGCGGATCCTCGGACTCCGAGGGACCTCGCGAGGTCCCTTGGAGCCGAGGACGATTTGGCTGGAAAATCCTCGGAGCCTGAGGATTTGTCCTCGGAGTGTTTTCACATTTCTGTTTCGAAAATCGGCTCCGAGGACAGGTGGAACGAAGACGAAATCCTTGGAATCCCGCCCCGAGGTGTGTCGAACGACGCCCTTGGTCCTCGGAGCCTGAGGACGCGCTGAGGTGTGTCGAACGACGCCCCAAGACAAGAACTTCATGCTCCATGATACCTGTTTCTAAAACATCAAAGCATCAGTTCTTTACATTTTTATGATTTTATGATTTTTATCCTCCACCCGCTCAGAACCATCATTACATTCCCAAGGAACCAAAGACTCCCAGGCAAGGTGCCCTGAGCGACCAAGAGGTTTCACAAGAAGATGAGCACATCTGGTGTTTTTGGAAGCTGCAGGACTTCAGCCTGGATTGGATCCCTATGTGATTGAGTTTGGTCAAAGAAAAGTATGTTTAGCATTGACTAAAGAACCGGGATATGGGTGAAATTATTGGGAATCACCAAACATATATATGCATGCTCTGTTGGTGAGACCTGTCATTATGCAGAAAGTGCCCTTTTTTCAAAGCAAAAGGCAAGTCGGCTCAGTGAGAGATTGTGCATGCCATGAATGCTCCGCAATGCAAAGAATGCCGAGCACCATGAAGAAGCCATCGAAAGGCAGTTGTAATAGGCACTCTTTTTTTTTCTTTACCTCTCTCTCTCTCTCTCTCTCTCTCTCTCTCTCTCTCTCTCTCTCTCTCTCACACACACACACACACACACACACACACACACACACACACGCACACACACACACACACAACTGATGAAGGCATTGCTTGTATAAAGGTAACGTTTCCATTGTGCCTCATGTTGCTAACCATGGAGGCAACACTGTTTCCTTGGTGGATTCATTCATCTCAAGCATGCTTCATCTTCTACAATAGAGGTAAAGTTGCTGCGATTTTGGATCTACTTACTCATCTGGGCGGAAGTGGTGAACATTCACAACACACACACACATATGATACTATCTTCGTTGTCGTTTTTTCACACTAGTGTCACAGCAGACCACCATTGACTTAAGTAATCCTGCTGGTCCTGCTCTACACCAAACAATAGCACCGATCTTTCTTTCTTTTCTTTTTTTTTCTTTTTCTTTTTTTTTTGGAAATCTGGGCAGGGCCTGCTAGCGGGGGTGATAAGAGCATCTCCTCTAGCGGGCAGTCCTTTTATTTATTTATTTATTTGAAACAGTACACCAGAATAGTTCAATATAACATTCCGTGATCCACAAAAGAGTGTGACTCCAGTTACACTAGAGACAAATGTGGAACCACATCCTTTCTCTGGGATGGAGAGCCCCTTGGAAAAAAATCTTACAACCACTCAAAGAGACACTACGGCCTATTCTACTAAACCAACATCAAGGCCAGTGTAACAGATTCGCCGTGTCTATCCGAAAAAAAATGCAGGACTCGGCAAGCAAAACATTGCTCACTATGTAGCGACGGCAAAACATCTCTGGTCCTTCCTTTCCAAGTGTAACAGATTCGCCGTGACCTGACACTAAAGATCAAGTTCCACATTATATATATGTGGCCTTAAAAATTGCCGATGTGCCTTTGTTTTCTGGACTCTTTCTCAGTCTCGCAGTCTCCTTGAGCCTGGATTCTTTCTTTCTCTTTCAGTCAAAATATTCTGTGCTCCAGTTGACACACTCTCAAAATTGGTCCATCCACTCCAGAGTCGATACCAAACAGGATACCTCTCTTTCCTTCAAGTCAGTGGCAAAAAATCATCAATAACATTATAACAATCCTTTCCTAAATGGGTAGAGAAAGATGAAATATTAAGCCACAGTACTTTTGATCCTTCCCTTGCCGAGCCTGGAAAGGCCCTGCACGGTAAAAAAACAAACCCGCATGGGCCTCCTTTGGGCTGGCGCAGCCAGCCATTTTGCTCCAGTAGGCGGACCTGTGAAACTTGCAGCACGTTAATGGCCGTGTCAGAGAAAAATGGCTGGGGGAAGTTCTGGGGGTTTATATATCACTTGCTTTTCTAGCAATAGGGCTTGTATATCCGGGCAGGTTGCAGAGGATGGAACATTAACCCTTGCCTTTTTTTATGAAAGGATCACAGAGGCTGAGTCGTTCTTACCGAGGATGTAGTTGTGTATTGAAGGGCCACAAGTGCAAGGAAAAGTGTAACCGTTGACGAGAAGCGAAGCTCGATCTCAGTTGGACTCAGGAGGAGTGGCAACAGTGCAAGGAAAACAGTACACATGCTGGGGAACACAATCTGCAAAAGCCATTGTTCAGACGAGATGAGCAGTAAGACTGTGTCAGAAAGGAAGGTGGATATTACTACTGAATGAGGGAGGTAGCGTCACCAAAAGAATTTGAATTTCTCTGTCACACATTGGCACTGGTAGACATTAAGAAACATCAGTCAACATGCATCCAGAGTCCTTACCTCTCTTTTTGCTTACTATGCGATGATCCCCACAGACATGAGAAGCTTCCACAACACAACTGCGCAAGTATTCACAATGCACTCCAGATGGCACCAATCACAGTGCAGAATAAGCCATGAAGCACCCGATGTAGTCCCAGACGTGAGACAATGGTAGAAAAGCACTGGAGAGAGAGAGGAAGGACAGTTTCATTAATACTCAATAATACAATTGCAACGACTTCCTGACTCCTTCACCTCCGAGACCCTCTCCCGCCAACTTGCCAGCTATGGGGCCCAAAACCTCCAGCATCAATGCTGGCCATGGAGGTTGGGCCCTAACTCCCCTCAGCCTGCCAGTGTGAACAGCGGCAGCTCCAGTATAACCAGCGCCAACAGGTAAGTGACCGTAAGTCAAGGCAGCACTGATAAGGCAGTCCACACATCCAACATGGACAAAATCAGATCATCACCTACTCACATCACAATGATAACTCCACAGGCTGTAGGTTCACATCAGGATTGGAGCCAAAAGACACAGAGGCATCCTGCGCCATAGCAATGTATTTGACCAATTTTGACGTGTCTTATGCGTTCACTTCACCACAAAGGAGAACACAGGAAAAGACCAGAGGCCCAGAGGGTACAAACAGTGGACAGCACAAAGAAAATACTTAGAAATAACTTAGAGAGGAAGAACAGAAGTTCTAAAGAATATGAACGCCTGTGTGTGTTGTCACGTTAACAATACACAACTCCACACGAAAAGCATGACTGTGCCAGACAGTTTCGTTTCTGACTTTCGCCGATTAATCAGGAGGATGAACCTGGACAGACAGTATGCCCAGGGTGCATTTGACGGATGGATAAGGAAGCACCACGTCGCCCAGAGTTAGCAATACCACGGAAAAAAAAGTGGTGAACTTTTTTTTTTTTTTTACTCACCCGAGTCACCTACCCCAACCCTGCAATCCAAGCAGACTGTTGGTACAAAGTTACTACAAACCCCTGATAAGAATGGCAGCAAGTCTGAGAAACTTAGTCTGTCACAGGCTCACAGCCATAAAACCCACTCTACACAGTGCACACCCACTCAGCCACAGAATCTGATATGTGTTTGTGTGTGCACACAGAGTGTGTGAAAAGGAGCGCATCACCTGCGCATTGGGAACTACCTCACAGCAACACAGAGGGAATGTTCATCCTTCAAAAGGGAGACTGATCAGCCAGATGCAAGGCACCAGATTGGGACGTCAAAAAGTACTCAAAATTCATTTTTCAGGCAATAAGTGCCAATAAGTTAACACCATTTTCGTCCTACATTTTCCTCACAAGAAACAAGCAACCAATAAAACCAAGGAAGAGGGCATGACTCCTGCATCCTCGAGGGGGGTGCAGATCCTTGAAGCTCCTTTCACTGCTACGCCAAGCAAGCTCATCAGAGGGCAGAGATTTTTCAAGCAAAAAATGTTTGAGATCATTCAATTAATATTCAAAAACTGAAAACAATAGTAAAGAATGATACCTGAGAAGTGGGATTGCGATGATGTGGGCAGGAAATGTGAGGGGTAAATAGCGTTGCATAGGGGAGAACGGAAGTGGAAAGGTATTGGCGGGGAATCAGGGATCTGCCTTCAAATACTCTACCATGGGAAGTAGCAGAGTCAGTGGCTTCTCTGCAGGGTAGGTGAGCTATGGGGGTAGGAAGAAGTCTAGGAAGGGGTGGCCATGGTATTGGGAGGGTGTATTGAGTGGTAGGTAATGACTACATCAACCATTAGTTTGTTCGTGTGTTGTCATATTCACTATACACAACTCCACAAAGAAAACCATGACTGTGCCAGACTGTTTCGTCGGACTTTCACTGACTCGTGGGGAGGTTGTTCTCGTGTGTGTGTGTGTGTGTGTGTGTGTGTGTGTGTGTGTGTGTGTGTGTGTGTGTGTGTGTGTGTGTGTGTGTTTTAGATTTTCCCCACAACAGCCCCAAATCCACCCAGGTGTATAGATTCAGAATCAAAGCAGTCTGTCCTTTTCTTTTTTCTTTTTTTTTCCCGAAAACAGAACCTTATGGTTCTGGCCCCTTTTCCATTCTGGGGGGCATCAGTCCGGTTCCTACTCCACCGGCAAGTCGATTGGAATACATGAAAGACACACACACGCTCTTCCCCTTTATGGTAGGAAAGTCTGAGGGCTGGCATTGATTACTTCTCGCCAGAAGGATGTACCAGCCCCGACCCCTGCCTGAGTTAGCCTATTTACTTTTAATTGGTGGCTAGTGCCTGGTTGAAAAACTTGGAAAGGAAACCCCTCTTCACCTGTTCCTCTCAGTCCTTTGACTGTCAGATTCACGTTAGGTACTGGAACTGCCGACCTGTCCTTCCCTTTTAGGGCTACCTGTTCCTATATCTTCCCTCTTCTAGTTTCTGCTGTCTATAAGTGTTTCTGGTGCCTAATATATCTAATTTATAATTGTCTTTAACCGGTTCTACCAGGTGCTAAAACCCTAAACCCTATCCTATTTAGCCAGTTTGTCTACTACGTTGTACTTTCCTTCCTTGTGGCTTGAGACTCTTACCCTGAATTTTCTCTCTTTGCTGGCTGTTGCTGCCCTTCTGGTAACTGTGTGTAGTGTGTAAGTAGTAATAGAATGCTGGGTTGGGTAGGGCATATGTCTGTGGGTTTAAGTTTGGGGGGTTGGGTTTCCATAGTGTTTAGGCGGGGGTTGTCATGTTTGGCGGGGGCGGTTCGTGAACAGTGTGGTGTAATTTAGAGTAAGGGGGTAGAAGTGAGAGAGTTGGGAGGGGGGTGAAGTGATTGTGAGGGGTGTTACAGCGGTGTGTTTGTTTTAAACGGCGGTGAAGTTTGTGGGGGTTGGACCTTTGTCGTAAGTTCTGGTAGCCAGGTCTGTCTTTGATTGTTGTTGATGTTGGAGTATTTACATAAGCCTTAGTTATGATAAGTTGAGGTAGGTTAGTAGGAACTAATTTGAATGGTGTTTGAGTCTGGTGTGCTGATCGTTGGTTCTGGCTCTGGGTTGTTGATCTGTGCTAGTTCATTCCACATTTTAAAGATTAGGCTTTGTCCTTTGATGATTGCTATCTTGCCCTTGTCCAGATAGTTCTCCTCAAATTTGGTTTGAATTTCCTTGCCTTTAGGCTCGTTGGCTTTCATCTTTCTTTTGACTCTGCGCCATAGCACCCAGTATTCCGTTTCCACTTGCTGCTTGAGGATACCCCATGCTTCTTGCACATGCATTGGTTGTTTGTCTATCGTTTCTTGACAACGTTTCCTCCAGATCGACCATATTGTTGCCTTGCGTAAGATTTGGAATAGGTTGTTTTGGAAGGGGGTCCAGTCTTCGGGGGTTGTGAATCCTAATAGAAGAAGGGTAGGGTTTGATGTGAGATTTGTGTCTGTAATTGAGATCCAAATCTGTGTGATTTTATTCCATATTGGTTGTATCCTGGGGCATAGTAGGAAGCAGTGAAACAAGTCTTCTATCTGACCTTCTGTGCAGCTGGCACACAGTTCGTTTAAGGGGTTTCTGTCTTCTTTCTTTCTTCTATTGTTGAGCCATTGGTTGAGTGGGATAGCTAGGTACAGGATTAGCCATTGTAAACTTTTGAATTTGGGGGGTGTAAAGTGGCTATTTGGTTCCAAGGTATTTCTTTTAGTATATCCGTGTCTACCCCTAGGTGTCTATTCCAGCGATCTGCTATGATTGTTTCTGGGGCTATTGATCTGCGCCTTAGTTTATAGCCTAGACTGGTGGTGTAGTTGATCAGGTTTATTCTTCGGTCTATACTTATTGTGGATTGTTTTAATTTCCAAGCCCATTCTGAGGGGTCGAATTCTAGGTCTTCTATGGTAGTTTGGGGGTGGAATAAGGTGAGGTCTTCGTTTTCTATTACTCTAACTATTCTGAGATTAGTTTCTTTGACTGCGATTTGGGCTACTGATTCTTTGTTTAGTTTGTCGTAATCTGCGCCTGGTTCCTCTAGCTTGTGCATGGAGAAAATGAGCCAGTTGTTTCTCCCGTCTTCCTTTCCTATAAAAGTGAGTGCATGTTCAATCGGTTTTATGAAAGTCATGACGGCCCAATCTCCTTTTGACCAATGTTTGTCCCCTTTAAGCATTGTTTGCCATTCCGCCGGGATGGCCATTGTTATCTGCTGGAGGTTTTGGGCTAGATTATGGCTTCCTTTGAGTTTTTCCCTAAGCTGTCTGACGGTGAGCCAGTTTTTTTCTGAGTCATCCCAGATGTGTTTGATTTGCCAAATGCCTTTCTCTAACCAAGTACCCCATCTTGTGTCCTTTGAGGTGAGGGTGAAGGGTGTGTTTTCATTGCTGGTTATCCAGGGGTTACAGAAGAGGGGTTGTCTGAGAATTTCTTCTTTGCTTATTGGTTTCCTTACTTTCGCTGGGAAGATTTATCTCCATCCCTTCAATAGCTCTTTCCAAAAGTTCAGTCTTGGTTCGTTTTGGGACTTGTTTTTCATAGTCCAAGATTTACTAATTATCCAGAACGTACCCTCCATGTTTCTGGTGTCTTGTATGCTGGAATTTGATGTAGTCCTTCTAGTGCCAAGGCTCTCCACGGTAGGTTAGGACTCATTAATAGCTTTATGATCCACTTGGTTTGGAGGGCTTTTATTTGGTTAGCTGGGTCTAAGACACCTAAGCCCCCTTGGCTCTTCTTTCTTGTTACGTATTGCCAGACTACCTTTGTGATAAAGCTCTGTTTTGTTGCATCTCCTGTCCAGAGGTAAGCTGTTGCTTTCTTATGTAAATCCTTTAAGGCTCTTTGGTCTGGTGTCCAGAATGCTGCTACATACCACATCATCGAG